ACCACAGAATTTTGGGAATATATTTTTAGGTGAGACTTTTTCCAGTTATATCAGCATTCATAATGATAGCAGTCAAGTTATAAAAGATATATTGGTAAAAGCTGATCTTCAGACAAGTTCTCAGCATTTAAATCTTTCAGCCTCGAATGCTGCTGTTGCTGAACCTGATTGTTGTATTGATGACGTCATAAAACCACCATGAAGTAAAGGAAATTCTGCTCCGGGTTTGACTTCTTGTGACTTTTTTCCTAGAAAAAGGCATGACCACATTATATATCCCTGTGATAAGAAACTGAGAGGGAGGATGAGGTTAAGGTTCCTTCAGATGTTTAAGCTAATTGCAATGGGAAATTAACGTGAAATAAAAGTTTATTCATCTCTTCCGCTAGATTACGAAGGAAGTAGACAAATCACTGTGAAAACAGTCAGTGTGGAGATAAAAGAAATGTGGGTTTCATTAGTAGTATTTCTGTTAATAGCAGCTCTGTTTTTCCCCCACACTCTGGTGGCATAGTCCATATGAAGTTGCATTGTTAACCTAAAAGTGGCTCATCTCTGATGGTAAGATTTACCAGGGGCTCCTCTGGAGAAAAGTGGGCAATCTCCTCCTGTGCAATTTACAGCCTTGGAAACCCAATGTACGTTCAGCTGTGCACTGATATTAACTCAATCGTAATGAGAGAGTGGGTCTTCTTTCCAAATGTCAAATGTGGCACCAGAGTTAGGAGGAAGAATAATGTGTGCCTCCTGAGGTTGGCACTGGCTTCAGTTAATGCCTCCTGGGTAACTGCGGGCCTACTGAAACTTTCTTTTGTAGAGAAGCTCACAGTCAGACTGAAAAGCAGAGGAGAGATAAAATGAACAACCTGATTAAAGAACTATCTGTCATAGTTCCTCAGTGCAATCCCATGGCATGCAAACTGGGCAAACTTACAGTTTTAAGAGACTGTTCAACACTTGAGATTGCTGAAAGGTGAGTTTGAAAATGACCTCCACACTTAGACTTGTGAAGTCGTCTTTGCCATTAAGAAATTTGCAGTTCTCAGTACCTGTTGTGAGTCCATGTAAAGAAAGGTGTCTTTCAACTTGAGAGGTGCTTACTTGAAACTTCTGTATATTCTAAATGCAGAGAATATGAAATTGGATGTCAGAATATTTGGTTCTACAATAGCTTTGTCTGTATGGCCCTACAAAAGTTTTTACATTTCTCCTTGTTTCCTCATGTCTAAGGGGAGAACAAAAGGAACCCAGGTGATGTAGTGCATAACGTAATGGGCTGTCAATCAAAAAGTCAGTGATTTGGACTACCTGAATGGAGAAAAGATGGGTAGTCTCCTTCTATA